TGAACTAAATTTCGCTCTGATCAAGTATTTTCATAGAGTCAGCGGGGTGTAAAGTTGATGGTTAATGGGTTCGTGAAATCTAGCGAGGTTAGAAGTATAGAATGGTGGTTGGCTTTTAGATTCGCAAACCTTCTCATAATGAAAAACTGACCGACGCCATCATTACGCTGTTTGTGAAATATGTCCGAAAAAAACACGGTGTCAAGCAACGTAGCTTCTCAAAAGAGATACTTTTGAAAAAAAGCTAACAGCTACTTAATGAATTTCAATAGCTACTTAATGATTCTCTACAGCTACATAATGATTCTATAGCTACTTAATGAATTTCTATAGCTACTTAATGATTCTGTACAGCTACTTAATGATTCTATAGCTACTTAATGAATTTCTATAGCTACTTAATGATTCTGTACAGCTACTTAATGATTCTACAGCTACTTAATGAATTTCTATAGCTACTTAAAGATTTTCTAAACCCACTTTATGGTTTCCTGGAGGTATCCATCATTCTACAACTACTTCAAGTTTTTCTTTGATTACTAAGACATCACAACTTTATTTTAAGTTGGTGTACGTATTTGGAGTTTGAATAACGATTAAAAGATTTCGTAGTCATTTTAACACCCTACAAGAGTTAAAAACCTCGTGGATAATTATAAAAACAATTTCTATTTATAAAGTCATAGCCATTTAAACAAAATAAAATATTTCGTTCATTTTTTATAGCTATTACAACTTTTTCATGGTTATAAATATGATTTCTTAAATATTGAAAAGCTTCATATTGTCGATTATTTGACTAGCTAATAGATCTCTAGGGTGCTTCCATACTTCTTTTATGTATGCCTCACAACTTAATATAATACTCTCTTTCTTTTCTAGCTACTATGTATAGATAAAATACCTCCCATAATCTGAGAAAGAATCAATATCTGAATGGTTCATATTATTATGAAGAAGCATAAATGAAATACTGTGAAAAACCAATATGCCATTCAAGTCATCATTTTTAGCCTTTCTTTTTACAAAATACCAAACAAAATCAGAAATATTTGAATTCTTTATTATAAACCAAATGCAAATTCAAATTACCAATAGATCAATTTTCATTTCAAAAACGCTTCACAGATTTAGATTAAAGAAATCATTATTTTTCTATAAACCAAAGACACATTGAAACTATCAATATTAAGATATTTTTACGAATCTCTTGCTCTAATTTAACTATTAAAAAAATAATTCAAATCATCAATATTTTTGGGAATCTAATAAGAATTCAAATTATCAATACTAAAGTTTTTTATTTCAATTTGCTTACAAGCCTAATGATGAAACTTAATCATTAAAACGAAGTCAAATCATAAATATTTAAACTTTTCATTCAAGCATCTCCACCCTCAAACTATATCATTAAAAGAATTCATTTTATGGATATTCAAATATTGTTACGAACGCAATAGATATTCCATTTCTGAATATTTCGATTTTTCATGAAAATCGAAAATTAAAATTAAAATTAAGGATATTTGAATATTATGAATATTCCAATATTTTTCGCAACCCAATAGAGATTAAAATTTACCAAATTCGGAGTTTACTTCAATAAACCAAATCTTATGAATATTTGTTTTTTTTTTCATATCAGCTGTCTCTGTGCTCAATCTATGTCATTAAAAAAAAATTATTTTATGAATATTCCATTATTTTCGGGAAATCAATCGATATTCAAATTATGAATAATTGAATTCTTTTCGATTTTTTTCACCCGCCCCACTGCTCGAATTATATCCTTAAAAAAATATTATAAATATTTGAACATTTTTGAGAACCCAATAGAGATTAAAATTTTCAATATTCGGAATGCACTTCATGAACTAAATTAAAATTATAATTATGAAAATTTTATTTTTTTTTTCATATCAACTGTCTCTATGCTCAATCTATGTCATTAAAAAAAAATTATTTTATGAATATTCCAATATTTTCGGCAAATCAATAGATATTCAATTTTTGAATATTTGAATTCTCTTCATTTTTTTCATCCATCCCTTGCTCGGATTATATCATTAAAAAAAAATTATGTATACTCGAATATTTTTATGAACCGAGGAGAGATTCAAATAATGAAGATTAGATTTTTTTTACGGGAGTTTTTTCTAAGAGCGTGTGATGAGGCTTAATTCTTAAACCTGCAGTCAAATGCTAAATATTTGAATCGTTTCTTAAAAATGATAAAAAAGATTTATATTAAGATTGTGTATAAGCATACATAGTTTTAGAATTAATTTATATGATGTTAATCAATGAAACAGAAGTTTTGTATATGTTTATCATTCATAAAATAATATTTTAAAAAAGAATAGAAAAGTAGTACCAGTATTTAGTTTCATTATATAGTATAAATTATATGAAATAAAAATTGGGGAAAATACGCTAAGCTTAAAGATTAGTTTTTTTGATTATCGTGTCTGAAATAATGGAAAATAATGTAATTGATAAATATATATGAACTAAAGAAGTAGAATATTCAGAATGTTGATAGTTGTTTAGTGTCTTTTATTTTGCGTATAAATGGACGCCAACAATACTCATACAAAATCCACTATTCATGTATTCTGGCGCCGAAGCAAGCTAAATATCTCATTATGATCTCATTATATATATGTCTATTGTATTTTTGTAAAAACCATTCAATTCAATTAAATATTCAATGTCGACCGATATGAATCCATTGAATCATATATGTGCGTCTCATTCACGAATCTTTTTATGTATCTATAATAACTGTTTATATTTATATTATAATCAGATTCCGCAATAACGAATGATGAAAATGAAAATATGGCAATGCAATCAGCTGGAATAAGTAAACCATTTTTTCTACATATTAGAAATATCTTTTTTCGTCGTATAGTAAAATTATTATGAATAGCTTTTATCAAGATATGTATAGATATGACGGTTCTATTGACTAATATATAGGAACACAAAGTAATCAATCGAAAACAATTTCTGATATAGAACTAATTATTGATGGCGTTTGAAATAATAGGATACCAAATTCTGTACGAATCAGTAATAATGTTTCTAAAAGTTGAGAATATGGTGATAGTACGTCTGTTCAAATTGAACATTTTAATACTATAAAAGCATTAAATGTGAATTTAAATTTGAATAATAAAGGAATTGAAAATAATCATTTGTCTCGAAGAAACGATAATATTCGTGCTATTCTATGTAGTACCTTACATTGTCTTTTACAAAAATTTAAAAGAATGAAAGAAAAAAAATGCAATTTTAATTTGTTTTTAATTAAGACTCAATATCAGTATTGTCTAATATATCATCAAACAGAGAAAATAATCAAACAATATCTCATATACAAAGTAAATCAGATTCTATTGTATTGGTTTTACATTTCTATGTTTGATAGTAGCATCTATTGATGATTATTTTACTCAACAAAATAATTCATTCCAACAAATTCATGATCTTAATGAAAATCTATCAAAGTAACGAAATTCTGTTATAATGCATTTCTTAAGTTCTTTTATTAGATTTTTTATTCGTTGTAAAATTATTTATATAAGTCCAATACGTTTTTTTGGAACAAATAATAAAGTATTTGACGCGATCGTTTGTGATTCGGATGATGAAATTAAAGTAGTTGGCTTTAATGATGAAGTTGAGCGGATATATGATATGATGACTTTAAATAAAGTAACGAATAAAATTGAGTTCTTTTGAAAGTTTTTCGTTGTAGACAATAACTATTGAAAATGGGCGAATACAAAAAACAAATGAAAAATATCGATCAGCATATTCTATGTTCGAAATTAGATTGCTTCCAAATACAAATGTACAATTATATAATTCTAGTAACTTTAATCCCAATATTAAAATTACGAAAAAAAAACATACATGATATATATGAATTATCACATGGCAATACTGTTGGTATGTTGTTGTATGATATAGTTTTATATACCTGTATATATTGTTGACTTCTATATGGCTGAGTAACATTTAATATTTTATGTTTATATAATAGATGACTAATTCTAATGATTGTTTTACTGATAAAAATACTTATTAAAGGAAATGAATATTAACTAATATTGAATTCATAAAATTCTAACAAAGTATTATTATAGTAAATGTAATTTAGTTTACATGATCGACTATTTCCTATAAAATAGAAACTCTTAAAAAAAATTTAGATACTAATTAGTATTGTATTAAAATAGCAAATAAGAAAATATTTTTATGTACTATAGATACAGAAGGCAAAATAATAGATGATAAAGGTATATCTATAACGACGTCACAAACCAATGGAGCCATATTACGACGTAGATTACTAAAAATACAAGATGAAACTGGTATTATCAACATTACAATATGCAATAAAAAAGTAATTTATAACATTTTACGAAATAAATTATTCGCAAAAGTTTTTGTTCTGTTTCATAATATACAGAATGAAGAAATTCCAGAAAATGTAATGAGTAAACATATACGGAATAGCAAAGTTAATGTATATAATGGTAAGAAAATGTGTAATAAATATAATAATGAAGTATCAGTGTACTTTTTGTTTTAGATTATGTATCAATCAATATATCCGAACAATCAATTATTCAATTGTATTGAAAACCATGCGTATTTAAAATAATTAAAACATTATTTATTTTTTCTAATGCTTGATGAGTGCTGTAGTTAATGTTAGAAAAATTCATTCAAATATATTTGTTTTATTAGTATAACTATTATAAAATAAAATATTAGAAAAGTTATGACAAATTTTGTAAATTCTAGATAATTTCGTATAATTTGTTGTAATAAATTATATTAATTCATAATTGAATTTTTAAAATTCATTCATTAATTACTAGAATTCATAAAACAGATCAAATTAAATAGAATATATTTAATCTTTAATATAAAATATAATTGGATTATAAATTATTAATATATCAAATTTCAATATTAAAACGATCATGTCAAATCATAAATGTCGTTCAATTATGTATGAATGTACAAAACTCACACCAAATATTGATATTTTTCCTGATGAAATGAAAGTCATAATGGAAAATAATAAACCTGAAAAAGGTTCCATTAATGCATTTAATGATCGTAATTTTATCAGGTATAGCACACTGGTCTTCGAGAACTATTTTAAATATTGATATTGATTGGGATATTCCGTTAATATTTTATGGCGTTATTGTTGGTTATCCTGGTATTTAACCTAACAATTTTTTTAAATTAAATTCGTATTTAAATATTATCAGGTTCAAACAAATCAACAGCAATCAACTTGATTGAACGTGCAACAAGAGAGCTTGAAAAATATCTACAGATAAAGATCGAAGATAGTCATGTGAATGGTTCAGTAACAATTGAGAGTTTGTTACATGAGCTATCAAAAAAGACATCTATAATTCAGTATGATATACGTAGAATTTATTATTTTGCTTAAAAATAATAAATTTCTTTATATTTATTCTTCATATTATGTTTCAATAAAAGAAAATTTTTATTTTGAATTATTCTACTTTTAGAGCTTTTGATGAATTTAATACTTTTGCATCATCATTCACTCTTTATCGTACAGATAAAGCAACATATTATCGATCTGTTTTAAATACTTTATGGAATGGTCCATCATGTTATTTTAGACAATTAGTAAAAGGGGATGTTAAGTGTGAAAATCCTTGGCTATCAATTGTTGCAGCCGCTCATCCTGGGACGATTATAAATATACTAAAAGAAGAGAATAATCAATTGGGAGCAGATGGATTGTTTGCAAGGTAAAGTTGCATACTATGAGTTTTTTATCAATCAAATGATAGGATATCAATCTGAAATAAGAACTAAAGAAAATAGTATAATGTGATATATAGAAAATGAATAATTTAATTTTCCAAACAATTTCTGATAAATTCTTTTGTTTTATCCGAGTTTTTCAATGCTATACAGTATTTTATCTATCAAAATATGATATAATCAATTCGATTTTTTTTTTAATATTAATAGATTTATATTCTCTGCTCGAATTTCACCAGAAGATGTTCATAAGCGTTGTAAGCGTGAAATCAACAATATTACTGGAGGATATACACAAGAATCTTATTCTTATCCAAGTCTAACTCATATTATGTACTTCATATATCTTATGCATCATAATGAAGTTTTAAAATGAAGAATTTCTGAAGCTGCAAATGAAGTTCTTATACGCACACATAATGAATACAATAATATACTAATAGAGTTTCAAGGTTATGAAGATATAATTTGTACATTATTTTCTAAATCATGCGATCATTTATATCGTATTTGTGGTTTACTACATTTATTTCATCAAGCATGTATTTATGTCTTAAAAGTAAAACTTCTTTAATATATGTATATATATCATCTTTTTAATATATTTTATTTTAAAAAGGCTAGACCACAATTAGAATATTTAGTATTCGATGATACTTCAGCAGAGTCAATTCAACAAATAGTCAAGTTAGCACAAGAAAATATTAATGATTATTTAACTATTTCACCTGATATAGCTCAAACTGCTGTTGAACTTATGAAGTTTTATGTTGAGACAAAAAAACTTTTACATGGATTCCCTTTAAAAAATCATTCATCCATAGAAGAAAGACATATTGGTCCTTCTGCATCTCAAGAAGCAAATATAGAAAGATCAAATGAACAAATAGATGGAGCATTACAAAATAATAATAATAACGATAATAATAGTGTTCTTAGTAATAATAGTAACTTTTCATCCTTAGTTTCATCAATTTGTCCATTTGATGGAAGAACTATGGATGCAACTATAGAAAAAATATTACTTTATAATCATAGAATAATATCAAGTAATCGAGTAGCACAAATGTTACGAGTAAAAAATTATATACTCTAAATCTTTTAATTCTTGAACTGACTATAATCTTTTTTTTCTTTTTAATAATTTAGCGTCCTAATGTTAATAGTCAGAATGTGAAAAAAGTTTTTATATTCTTAAGTAATTGTCAAATGGGTACTTATAAAATCGAAAAACAAAAGAAAGGTAAACCTCGATCATTATTCATTAAGGCTGATCTTCCTGAAGATAAAGAATCATTCAAATATAAATTAATGGTGGAATTTTTAAACGATTTCCATTTAACACCTGATGAATATATGAAACGTCTTCAAAGTATCTCAGAAACATCAATTATCTCAACCAACGACACTACATCATAAACCAGTAGCTCAGCAATAAATTAAAATAAAAACACTTAGTAAAAATATATCTTCTAATTCTATTATTCAATAAACATATTCATTTAAATTGTACGACTATAAAGTGAAAAAGTGTATCAATTATTAAGTAAAATATAAACCAATTTAAATTTCTTTGAATACTCTTGTATGTAGCTAATCGTAATGAATAATTTTATCATAAAAATCATCAAACAACGAACATATACTGTTTCCTTTTTTTTTTATAAAGCCTTTCTTTTATCAGAAAACTCAATAATGAGCGTTGACATATTTACTTAGACAGTTCGAATTCTTCATCGATAATTAACTTTCTTAGCTAATTGATAGAAAAATACAAATCAGTTGACTACATAGAATCGTTTTTGGAGCGAACTGTTCAAAATTGGAATGTAAGTTTTTTTCGTCAAAGTATCAAATATTTTCTTGGAAATAAATTTAATTCTGATGTATTCAATCATTACGACACAAAAAGGATCAAAAGCAATTTATTTTGAAAACAATTTTTATCGATTACAAAAACAGAACAAAAATGGTACAAATCGATGGGTTTGTACTAATCGATCATGCTCTTCTTCTTTAATAATAAAAAAATCAAACCTTACAAGCTGTAAGAGGCAAGCACAATCATAAGGATGGAAAGCCTCCATTATCTATAATCCAAACAGTTCACGAAGTTCGTCAGATGGTTTGCAATAACCCATCTAAACCAATCCCTCAAATTTATAATGAAGTTGTGTCTGCATATGTAAGTAGAGTCATTTGTTTTTATTCTCTCTTTACATGAATATGTTTAGAGACAAAATAAAGGTACCGCTGAATTAGTACCAATGTTTGACATGTTGAGATCAACATTATATCGAGACAGATCAACTGTTTTACCGAAATTACCACGATCATTAGATGACTTAATTTTACCAGCTATCTTCCGTAAAAATCTTTATAATGAAAATATGTTACTTTGTGATAAAAAACAACCATCACGTATTTTGGGATTCGCTTCGTTAACTGCAATAAAACACCTTGGTATGTTTTTATTTTTTAAATATGTATATCAAAATATATAATTCTATTATTCTCAATCTAACTGGAAAATGTACTAAGATTGTATGTACCAGAAATTTATTTTCAAATCATCCAACCAGAACTAATTTTAATATTTTTAAGCGCATAAATCAAAGTAAAGAGATCTTCTTAAAAAGCTGATTCTAATCATCTAGTTTCACTAAAACATAATCATTTTCATTATGAAGTCTAAATCTAGAGAAAATGTTTTACTTATGATACAAAAACAATTTATTTATTTCGTTCAATGTAAACTATTAATGTTTTCCTTAAAAATAATCAGTAATTACAGTAGCTTATTTCAATCAAAATTTAAATTAAATCTAACTCAAGTCAGATATAAATATCGATTGCTCTTTGACTATCACAAAAGCAAAAAGACTTCATTCTTCATAATTCCAAATGCCAAGATATAATTATTCATAAGATATCTACCGAGAATATCCCCGGAAACTCAATTATGTCCCAGAGTAAAAGACATAGAGATAGATAGGTAAAGGAGATATAGATTAATTGATACAGCTGATCATTGAATAGTGTTTGAATTTAAACATCTATTCATAAAATATATTGGTATGTTTTTTTTGCAAACCCTTACTCCAAAAAATCAATCATAAAAAATGTTAAATAACTGTTTACTTTATCTCCTACATCTCTGTAACTTCTATATCTCTATATCTCGAAATCTCCTATACCTATCTATCTGTATACCTCTTACCTTAGGACATAATTGAGTTTCCAACGATATTATCCGAAGATATGTAATCTAATTATTTCATCCATATAAATTTTCATATAATTTAATGCAGCAGAATGTAGTATATGGAATGCAGATGGAACGTTCAAAACTGCTCCAAAATTGTTTACTCAATCATATACAATACATGCACATAATGAATTTTCAATGAAGCCTATAGTATTTTCAGCACTTCCAGACAAATATGAAGAAACATATTCTTCACTTTTACAATCCGTAATCACATATGCAAAAGCAAACAACCTCATTTTATGTCCAACATCAATTTTAATTGATTTTGAATTATCATCATTCAATGCTTTCAAGAAAGCTTTCCCAAATACAAATATTGTATTTTGTCATTTTCATTTTGCAAAAAATATAATGAAAAATTTGAAGAAATTACGTAAGTACTTCTAATAATCTTGTATCGTAATCAATCCATATATTTATTTGTATATGTATTTGTATAAATATTTCATATAAAACTACATTTAATTATATTTGAAAACAATTAAAAAACCAAACTATTTTTTCTTACATCTATCTTGAGTATATTATCTTATAAAAGCTTCCAATTTCATATATATACATATATGCAACAAAAAAACCTAGCTTAAATTAATATTAAGTTTTAACAAAAATATTTTTTTTTACAACTAAATAAAACAAAACTTTTTATATTGTTTTAACATTCAATCCGTCTATAAACATAATTGTTTCTCAAGACTAATAACTATACGTGTGTATCAAAACAAATTCTTCTATAGAAAATAAATTCAAATATGTAACAGCTCTTTTTTATCTCAAGGCAAATATACAATAACCTTCAAAAGAAAAAATCTAAGGTATCATTCGATTATAAAATTTAAGTTTACTCACTGTATTAAAGTTCAGTCTATAAGAAAAAGATCTGTTCATTTTTTATAAGAAAACAAAATAATTTATCATAAAATACATTATTAAATAAAATTGAAATATAACATATACAAACACAAATAAATATAAGTTACCATTCAGTCTCGTATGCTGTTCAATATTAGATTCATTCAGACTATTTTGGATGCGAAAATGGAGTAACTGAATATTCGATCATCGAAAATTTTTTTTTTAAATTTTCAAAGGTACTTATATAAATCCTAATTTCAAAATTTTTTTGTTGAACACTATTCAAATATGCTATTTTAGACACTAGAATTACTCATAAAAAAAATAAAATAAAATTTGTGAACTTATAAATAAGGGTTTACAAAAGAACGAGTTTTCTAAGAATTTTTCTCTATAGTTATATCAGTTTAAATTTAGTTCCTTCATTCATAATTGCATTACTCAACTATCATTCATTTAGTATACTTCACTCACAAGAATTTCAATCTAATATCTACCTAGAGACTAATGACTGTTTTAATAAAAACTTTTTCGATGATCCAGTGTTCAATTATTTTAACATGAGAATCCGGAATTCACATAAGTAAATCAAAGATTGTAATTACTGAATCGACACTTTCACGCTAATATACATATATTTTCTAATCTTACCAAAATGCCTGACTAAATTTAAAAAAGAAACTTCATCTCATTCATAGATGTTTTCAAAATAAAATGAGTAGCCTTTTATTATTCATCTTATAAAATTTTTAACATCCAATCTTTGTTTCCATAAAAAAACATAGAACATTCCAAATTAAAATAATACTTTCAATATAGATTTTTAAAACATATCTATGCATACTAACATATAATAAGATTATATTAATAGATTTATCTGACGAATTAAACAGAGAATCTGTTAAGCGTGAAGTCGCTAATATATAATCATTACCTTTACTGCCAATAAAAAAAATAATTCCAGCATTTTATGATTCAGCTGATTTACTTCTATCTATTAATCGAAATTTTCAAACATTCGTTAACTATGTTGAAAAAACTTATATAGTTAATCCTAAATTCAATCCGTTAAATTGGAACCATTATAATACTTTGTGGACTAGACCAAGAACAAATAATCAGTAAATAAATAATAAAAAAATAAAATAAAATAAAATAATTAATCTTTTTCTTCTTTTTATTTTTCTTATAGCATTGAAGGCTATCATAGATATTTAAATAGGTATGATCACGAACAACTTTTACTGTATAAAAATTAAATTTTAATTTTTTTTGCTACTTCAAAATACAATACACTACACAAGAAGATTCTTTCACTTTATTTCTTTAGTCATATGACAGCAAAACCGAGTATTTGGAAATGGATCATCCATATTCAAAAAGATGATGAACAAACAATTATAAGATTAGAACAAGAAAAAAAACAAAATAGATCAACAAGACCAAGAAAAAAGAAAAATATAATGCATGATCTTTCTTTAGCTGATTTAAAAAATTCATACGAAGAAAATTTAATAGATATAATAGAATATCAAAGAAAAATTCGAATTATTTCATATTCGTATATGAATGTTTTAGAAAACAAAATAAATACTGACGATAATGATTGAAAATTACGAACATTCATTTTTGACATTTTTTTCCAATTCGAATCATTAAATAAATCTAAATTTTATATCACTACCATCTTTCTGCAAATACAATATAATACAACAACACATTTCTAAACTAATATATACATATATATATTTCTAATAAATAGCACTCAATTATTCCATGATTATCATTTGTTCTACTTTTACAAATTACAACTAGAGAAACTATTAATTTTACTTCTTGATAATAGTAACTAATCTAAGCGCAGTAAATTAATGTTTTGATTGAACTGTACAAAAGCAACATTTATAATGACAATTCTCATGCAAATAATAAAACAACTTTTTCCATCTAAAGTTATTACTCATCCTATATATAATCTACTCAATCAAATACCAAAGCAAATTATTAAACCAAATCATATTTTTCTCAGTATCGACAAAGATAACAAAACATCATAATTTTTTTAATGTACTCTAGATGAATTAATAACACTTTATAATCACTGTCCATCAAGTGAACAAATTCTATGTAAAATAATTTTTCCAAAAAATTGATTAAGACATATATCCATTTCCAATATTACACTGAGAATAATCTTCATATTAGTGATCATTATATTGGAGCAAATTGTTTTCTAAAAATCCTTCACAGTACACTAAAGTTTCTTGATCATAAACATCAAGAAAATGAAAATTCCATTCACACTATTTTACAACAGTTTTTTGTATTAAAAGCATAAGTTCTCGCAATCCTATCAAATAATTTTAAAATTTCTATAACTTTGTTTTTTTCTGCAAGCAAACGAAAGAATTTAAATAACATCCAGTTAAAAAAATATCTATAATA